TAGGCTCCATTCTTCCCTGACCCTGAATATTATAAAGGCGATATGGAAAATGAATGAATAAATCTGGTTTTGTGGTTTTATGAGTTTCTCTGCCACATCTGACACCATAAGACCTCCAATAGAAAAAAAAACTGTTTGGTATTCATGTTACAAAGAATGGACATGAGCAGTATGCGTAAACTGGATAGCATTTATTTCACTAATATTTGCAGTATAGTGCATTGAACAGTGTCTTTTAAAATATCTATAACTTGTTTTTTCAGATTACATACAAAAGGTTGAATATATTTCATCACAATAGGTTTGTAAAGAATCAGGCTTACTGTAGGTCAAAAAACAATTTCCCTAGCAGATCGCAAGAAGCAATGTTCAGTGCATCACCTAAACAATGGGAAGTTTGTTGCATGGCTTCAACCCAGCCAAACTGATACTGTGCATGTAATTTAAAAGGCCAGGTGGGGATAGTTGTTATTAAAGAAGCAGCCAAAAGGCCCATGGTAACTCTGGGAGTGCTACTGACATCAACAGTAAAGGATGGAGACTGTATTGTGAAGTAATTTTGCTCTGCAAATCCAACCTTTATTGAAGTCTAGCAAAAAGAAAGCCTTTGTAGAAAGAAATAACGTTGAGTCTTCCAGTTTGTCAGCTACACAGCAAACAAGCGGTATAAGGGACTTTGGCCAGAAAAGTTCAAAATTAAACACTGAACATGCATACAAAAAAGGTATGTGGCAGAAAATGTATTTTCCACCACAACCTGTAAAACTTGTAGTTGTAGACAAAGGCAATTGCACAAAGCACTGAGTCATAAGAAGCCTGATTACCAAAGCCCAGAACATAGGGCTGCACATTTCTAGGAAAACATGAGACATGCAACAATGTAGTGAGCATAATCTAGATTATATGACTATGGATGAAAGAAGGAATAGTTAATTAAATAGTTTTAATGTCTATCTGTTTTCGGAGTAATTATGTTATGCTTTATTGAAAAGCCTTCATATGACGTCATTTGCAGCTTTAACACAGGAGAGTCGAGTTTTGTTTTATATTAAACACTTAATGTTGTATTCCTTAAGAAAAAACGCATTTAAAAAAAGTACATCACCAAATGTTTTTTAGAAATTGTTTCAAATCCCATACCAACAAATATTTATACTGTTTATTATAACTAATATACATATTAGACTTAGACAGACTTATTTTATTGCATACTTTATTACATATTGTATTCCAAGCAAATTTTCATATCTTTCAAATTGAGATAATGATACATTTGTAATATTATATTAAGTGGAGCCCTTGCATCACACTTTGTTGGTTATGACATTAGGCTTATACCAAAAGAAAATCCAATCTTTTTTCTATTATTTGTCAAAATGTAAAAAAGAACCATAGGACTATGAACGGATGTATTTTTAAACCCTGTAAAAAAAAAAAAAACACACCTTAAGGCCGAAAAAAGGTCGTCTTACAATCACTAAGCTTCAAGGCAGTATACCCTGCATATATGGTATTAGAATTCCATTATGATGCTGTGTTACTTTCTTTCCAGTGTTGCTGTTTCATCACCATTGCTGCCCCATCACTTCACTGATTTGCAACAGCATTTTAACTTCTCATCGCTGGTGGTCAGTACAGTACATCGATACTTGACAGGAATTAAATTAAATATTGGCTTCTTTTTGTGCAATGGTGCTAATCTATATTCACAAATGATTAAATTCAACAATTAACAAATGCATTGTGTTTAACAAATAATGCTGGAAAAAAGAAATGTGGAATAGATTTGGCTGTAAAAGTCGGCATGCAGTTTTACTGCATACGCTTAGACCAAACGTGACACAATGGTTGTCCTTTAATGTGTTTGGTTGTGGTGTGTTTGATTTGATACATGTTTGTTTGTTATGGTTTGACCTTTAAATGGATGTGGTGGAATGGCTAAACTAATCCAGTGTTAAGATGGGAGGCTAAGAAAAGGGGCAAGGCAAAGCACAGTCCAATCAGAACAGAAGCTGTTGGCTTAAATGATCTTCAGGGAAATCTCTAGCACCGGCTGTTCTGTAGCTTTAGAGGGTGGATATTTCTGTGCTATTAGGAGGGATCTGTCTGTGGATCTGTGAATGCATGTTAATTGTCTTTACAGACTGCTGATTGTGATCAACTATTAGTCAGAGTGGACCTCTATAGTTCAGACTTCCCATTTTCTGTGTGTGAGATGTTGTTTTTTGGGGGTTTTGTTTTTTTAGGTTCTCTTCGGCTTCCAGCTTGTAGACTAAATATCCAGGTGCATCAAAGTCCACCCTTGGCAGTAATTACAGAGCTTGCTGGAGCATAGCCACAGCACAAACAACAGCAGGCATTCACACACTGACAGACAGACACATTGACTGACAGTCCCATAGCCTCTTCTATTATCTTAGCCTCCTTTAGGGCCCTGAACTGTGTCTGAAAGGAAAAAAAAAACAAAGACACATGTACAACTGTAGAAAAAATATGAAACAGTTTACATTTTCATCAGCACTGTCCTTCAGCACTTCGCACTCCAGCTTGTTTGTTCCTGTCCATGTCTTAACCTTTACGCTTTACACATCACATTTGTTCCCCACTAACCATTGTGTATTTCCTTTGATGCTTTTTTCTCTCAGTTCCAGTGGCAATGTTGAGCAAGGCTTTTTTTTCATATTTTGGTGTAAAAGGTGGATTTTGCTCAAATTGATTTTTTTTTTTTTATGTTGGCTGAAACTGAATTCATTAAGTTTCAACCAGATCTGTTTTTCTTTCATGTACCCTTCTTTTTATTCATTTTACAATGCTGCCAAAAATACAAAATGGGGTACATTGGAGGAAATGTTAAATACAAATGTTTGCATTTATATCTAGGGGTATACTGTATCAATTCGTTCATTTGTCAACGGTAAGATATCGTATAATAGATAAGATAACATATCCATTATAGGACTTTTTCCTAAAATGTCTTTTTCCCTTATGCTGTAAAGTTTAACTTTTAGAATGAGCTCTTTTTATGACATTATTTATTCTTGTGTGTACCTGTAAGCTTTCTTTGCCCCTGCCTGAATTTCTCCATTGTAGAAAAAAGGGCATATTCTATTCTATTCTATTCTATTCTATTCTATGATAAATAATAGCTTTGCCTTAAGTAAGGTTTTGGATAAAAGTGGCAAAGATTTGGTTACAAATTTCCCTGTAGGCAACCTTTACTAAAAGACCACCATGACATTAGCAATGGTAGAAAAGTCTTGAACAGCCACTATTTTGTCACTCCTCATTGAAAATAAACAAAAACAAAACTTTGGCAGTGAAGCCGTGATTATTAATTTTGATTGTGTCAGCATATCTGGTTTGGGACTGCTGAATAAAGGAACAGAAGTGTTAGTTGATTCATGATATGTAGATGGTGTGGATCGATGGAGGTTTATCATTATAGATTTTGAAGCTGGTCTAGCCATGCTGGCCCCATTCTGCAGCTTACACTCTCATTAAGCCCACAGTGGCTGCTCAAAAAGCAGCTCTCACAAACAACCAAACACACTCCGTGTCAGGTAACATGTACTCTGCATGTATAGACCTTTGTGATAGACTGGCAGCCTATCCTGTCCAGGGTGTAGCCTATGGATGGATGGATGGATGGATGGATGGACGGACATACATACAGATTCTTATACTGGCCTATATTGAATATGGCTCACAGCTAAAACAAAAAAAGCAAAACTCTGAATTACACATCAGCTGATTGCTGATAGCGAAATTAGATTTTTTTGGGTGAATCAAATGCAAATTGTATTTTTTGTCACTTAAAGAAAGCCACTCTGGTGTTGTTTCTAGTGATGACGAGAAAGAAGGATGTTCTTGATTTCCACTGACTGTAATCACTGGTATATCATGTTGCACAGAGTGCTGCATCAGGGTTAAGTTATTTACTGAACAGCTTGCAAAGTTGTTCAAAAGGGCTCCGTGCAGAGAACCCTTCTTTGTAATGTCTTGCTGTTGAGGAAAATACCTCTCCATGGTAACGATTAACTTAAGGTATTGTGATAAGATACTGGTAGATTGGTAATTTCTTTGGAAAGAAATCAATACCTATTGTGATGATCTTTTATATAGGATGCCTAGAAGAACAGGGAAGAAAAATCTCTTAACAACTAAAAATGTAGCTTTATGAGTGACCTTAAACTGAAATAATATTTTCAAAGTTGGCCACAATCTCTGTCCAACAGATAGTAGAACAGTCTTGCATGAAGGGAGTGGTACAGTATAAAGCATAAGCTAAATGGGTAAAAGAAGGATAAAAGGCAGCTAATAAAAGTCAAACAAGATCAGAATCTCTTTACTGGCATTAAAAGTATTATTAGATTTTTTCCAAGTAAACTTCCTTACAGGCATTAGCAGAGGTCATCAAAAGATTTCCCTGCCTACGCTCACCCAGTCTTTAACTGCAGACCCACATCATCATTATAGGCATCTAAGTACTGTAGTCACTCTGGCTTCAGTCTGGTCCTCAGCACATCAAATGTTGTTCTGGAAAAATTTCAATTCATTGACATAGCCTGTCTGATATTTTCCACCTCCACGTGTTTTCTTTTAAATAATATATTTAAAGCTTGCCTGCTGACAAAAGACTGAAAAAACAATGAGCTTTAATAATCAGTAAATCAGTTTGGTGCCATAACAGAACCCCATGTTGTACAATACATCATATATGTATTCTCTTTAGCCAACTTTATGTAATTGTATTTCTTTCGCATTGAACTTTGAAACAGAAATGACACTTGTTAAGTTTAAACTTGAAGAAAAGAAAAACTAATCTGAAACTTGGCTCTTAAAGAAGTGTTAACTACCATCTTATTCTGTAACACTGTGCCTCTGTGTCTTCACAAAATAACGACTGGCTTTAAAATAAAACATGTAAATGTCTAAACGAATTGAAAATCATTTAAGGTTTAATAATTTTCCACTTTGTCCCCTTCTCCCTGTCTCTCTAGTTAAGTTTTGGGGGGATGCCATACAGTGGGAAGCCTGTGGGAGGTGGAAGAAAAAACTTCAAAGGCTGCATGGAGAGCATCAACTACAACGGAGATAACATTACAGACCTGGCCCGTCGCAAGAAGCTAGACACTTCCAGCTTTGTAAGTGAATTCTTGTCTGAGTTGGCACATGAAGATGCAAATATTCCATGTACAAAGGTGCAGGTATTATTGGATCTCAGTGCAGCATTTGATCTGTCAATCACTTGATTTTATTAGAGCGTCTGGAAAACTGGGTCGTCCATTCTGGTACAGCACTGGACTGGTTTAAATCCTACCTGAAGGACAGGGACTTCTATGTGTCAGTAGAAAACTTTAAATCAGAGACCAGAAAAAAATCACATGCTGGGTTCCTCAAGGCTCCATCAGGGGGCCCGTCTTATTCAACATCTACATGCTCCCCTTAGCTCAGATTATAGCAAACAACAAGAGCAATTACCATAACTTTGCAGACGACACACAGTTTTACATAACAGAATAAAATAGAATTCAACTCGCTGCATTTAAACCATCCCCTTGGAGAGCAGTGGGCTGCCATTGTCCGATACCAAGGGAGCAGTGTTGGGGTTAAGGGTTTTGCTCAGGGACCCGGAGTGGCAGTCCGTGGGAGTAGGGCACAAACTCAGAACCTCCAGGATCCAAGCACAATGCCCTAACCACTAGGCCACTACTCCCCCTAATGGGCCACCACTCCTCCTAATGGGCGACCACTCCCCCTGTCACCAGGTGACCATAAACACATCAGAGTGTAGGGTAGATGCTTAGAACAGATCAATATGTGGATGCATCATAATTTTCTACAACTATACAAAAACAAAACTGAGGTAATAATCTTCAGACCAAAGGAGGAGAGTTCCAGGGTTAGCTCACAGCTTCAGCTTTTCTACAGCTAGAAACCACTGATTATTGCAGAAATGTCAATGTCATGGTGGACTCAGCCTGGAACCTTCAGAGGCACAAAAAGGCAGTTACTAAGTCAGACTTTTATCACCTGAAGAATGTTTCTCGGATTAAAGGAATAATGTAGAAAAACTCATTCATGGATTTGTCTTTAGTAGAATTGATTACTGCAGCAGTGTCTTCATAGGTTTGTAGGAAAAAGTAAATATTACATCCTGAATACAAAGTATAATTTATTCTTATTTTTTAAATTGTGTAATGCAGTTAACCAGCATTTGATTGCTAAATTAGTTATTATTTCCATGATCATTTTTTCCAATTATGGTTTTAGCACTGGTTTAATAAACAAAGTGCATTGTTACTGTACACCAAAAATTTCTGCAACCTTGAAAATAAAATATTGGAATAAAGGATGTGGAAATCATTATTTTAATGCACCATGATTTTGTTTTTTACAACATCCATGACACCATTATTAATATTGAGTTGATTCCTTCCCGCTAAATTTTCTAAGCCAAAACAAGGCTTTGTTTTTGGTCTACTTTATAAAGCCTTAAACTAAACACTATTTCTGATATTTTGAATTAAAAAAGATTTCTGGATGGGAAGGGAAACCTCTTCAAACTTGGAAACAAATTCCAGGGGATTGTTTTTTAACGTTTTTGGAATGACCTGGATGTCTGAGAATCTTCATCATCCTATTTCCAATGTCATTAGCAATCAAGTAATATTTTTCCCTGTATAGGTAATAGAATAGAATAGATATTTGGCTAACCAGGCAGACAGTGCTAAAGACCCTGACAAATAATAATAATAAAAGAAACATAAATGAAGAAAAAAGGTCTAATAAAATATAGGAAACTTGAGCAATTCAGGTGATATGTATGTGTGCTTTACATTTTGGAATTCAAGGGAGTGAGGGCATTTGCGACAAAGGATCTTTTTGGGATCCTCTAATAAGGGGGAACCCTGTAACACCTCCTAGACTTCAGAATGGCAGGACAAAGGATGAGATTATTTTATCCTTTTTTACTTTGTACTTTAGTAAATGGATCTGTACAACAAAAAGCATCCCTATCCAGTGTTCTTGCCAGTGTTTTTCAGCATAATGGGTCATTATTCTAAAAAAAAATCACAGAGAAAATCAGGCAGACCAGCTTATTTCTTAAGAGCGTAGAGGCCATTTGACTGAGATCTATTCTTTCTCTCCGCTAAAATCTTTCTGCAGATGGCCATGGAAGCCGTATTTTTAAGCACATTTATCTCCTTAGGTAAATGCACATATGCATGAAGGAGTAAAGACTTTTATTTGCGCACCAAGGCAGGTGTAACGCCACAGCAGAGAGAAACCTTTAAGAAAACAAACAAAAAATAGTTTCTAAACCACCTGGACTAAGACAACTTTTATTGTCATTTTGTATACACTTTTGTATACGACACTGTGTATACTAAAATTTCGTTTAGTACATCTTTTCAGAGAGTAAATTAACATTTCTATTTCATAAAGTGCAGCAGTGATCAAATGAAAATAGTGTTGGAGAAAAAACATGGTGCAAAAGAACGTATTGTTTTGTCTCTTTTTTTATTTTTTTTATTTAAAGCACTCATTTATTTTTTTTGCTATAAGCTTTTCTTGAGCTAGCAGCCTGCTTTTATTTTTTATATCTCTGGCTGTCACTACCCGATTTGTCCCGGAAGCATGATTAGCCATCAGCTCATTTGTGCGTGCGCAAGCAAATATACATCCAGGTCGCCACAAATAATGTAACTATGGTACTAAAAGTAGTCATCCTTAAATCACTATAGAATGCAAATACACATCTTTAAAAAATGTTTTATGACTAACTGCTTGTTTGACCTAATCATCAGACGTGCTCAGACTAGTACGGTGATTAAACCACATTTATCTGAATTTCAGTTGTTTCTTTAGATTACGCAACATATACCAAAATGTTAACACAAAAGGAAAACATAGAACTCAAAAAGACTAGATTTATGTTCAGATCGGATTTTAAGGCATATATTTTTTCAGAAAATATATTATTAACCTTTATAGCGTTATAGTTTAGAAAGCATATTCTTTTTGGGGAGGGAAAAATTGAATTTAGGTATTTTTTACAAAATAAAATCAAGGGTGACCTGGATGTATATCTGGTTGCGCATGTGCAAGTAAACCAATGGTGCGAATCGTGCTTCTGGGATGGATGTTGTCAGTGACAACACTGTGCACACGAACACTTGTTCTTAGCCTTCATGACTGAAGGTCACAAACACTCTCAGGGCTACAGTGCCCCCCTTGTGGATGTGTAACAGTATGCCTGTCATTATTGTACCCAAACATTAAAAAACCTGCTATCCTCGAACTCTATGCAGTAATGTTCTGCATCAGATATTTATTTTCTCTTCCTGTTTATCTGCATTATCTACATCTCATTTAACATACTTTATCAATGGAGAGCTTGTTAAATGAATTAAATGAATTACTGTAAATCAATAATAAACAAAATCCCTGACTGACCTAGCCATTCACCACTAATCAACCTATATCCATTCTCACATTTCTCAAAATCAAAAATGGAGACATAATTCAAAAGGGAAACAGATTATGTACTAAATGTTATTTGCTATAGGCCATCCTTAAAACACAAGTTTGACAGTTCTGCAATGAATTCGGTGTCCAGTAGAGAGGATTCACCCATAGCCCTGCTCAAACTCACTGTAAAAGACAGAGTTAGCCAGAAGCAAATTATAAAGTGAACAACTTTATAATTTAGCAACTGTTTGGACTGAGAGGATATATTAAAGCATTGGATGCCTGCAAAAGTGTTCAGTTTATAAAGCTATTTTTGTATGAGTTTAAGAAAACAGACAGTAAGAGTTTGTTCTAGTTATTGATGATGTACTGCTTTTCTATTTACCCTTATTTTCCTCTTTCTTTTTAAATCTGTCCTAGCAGCGTAACCTGTCTTTCACCTGCGTGGAGACCCACAGCTTCCCCGTCTTTTTCAATGCGACCAGTTTCCTGCAGCTGCCCGGGCGAGCCAATCATAACACAGTGTCTGTGGGCTTCCAGTTTCGTACATGGAACCCTGACGGCCTTCTGCTATTCGGTAATCTTGATGATGGCACCCTAGAAATCTCGCTGGAAGATGGAAAAATTATTGTCCGGATCAACGTTACGACATCTGCCAGAAATTACCGGGTGGACTTACTATCAGGTATGTTTTTTTAACACTAGCCATAGTAGTGTCACTTTTAAATATTTCTTCTTCTTTAATGTTCATGGTAAACGCTGATAAAATCCTAAATCATAGAAGATAAGTTACACTTCTCTGAGGATTAGAAAGTACATTTGCTTTAGGCAATAAAGGCATCAACCAATAATGATTCGTACAAAATTACATGCATCTTAACTGGAAAGTGTATAAGATTCATCTCAATCTAGTGCTCCACTAAAGTAATAAACAAAAGACAGATGCCTCCCCTTCCACTTGTACGACCTACTACGGATCGGCAGAGTGACACTGTACTGTCTCTGAATGGAGGAGGGGAGGGAAAGCATTAACCTCCACCACCCTCGTAAAACCTGCTGAAACAAACGATGGACATGGAACATTTCTCTGCAGACAGCATGACTTCTAGGGAAAATAACAGCAGCTCATAACTGCTGAATCAGAGTTTGCTGGTGTAGAATACCTAACAAACTCGCTTTTTCAACCGAGATGGCTTAATCACTGATCGTTGATATATCGGCTACAATAAATTATAAAACACATGAAAACACTGAAATATGGGCCGAAAGAAGGGATGACTGACTTGCCTACTAGAGCTACACAACTAAAATATTAGCGAAAATCCCACTACCTGATTGGATTGTGCTGACATGAGCACAAAAAACAGTTAAAACTGTTAAAACTTAATTTGAATGACTGGACTTAAAGTGGATATCGAAGGGACAGGCTTAATAGACTTTAAGGTGATGTTTACTTGCACAAGCTAACATTATCTTTAAGTGACCTTACTTGTTTGATACATTATTTACGGGAATATAAGGAAGCTGGTACTGTGAGTCTCAGCAGTGCTACCCAGTACTGCTGTAATATACTGTACTTTATTTTTTCAATGCCATCAACTTCGGCCCACAGTTGCCAATCTAAGTGTATAGAGTGAGACTGGTGTGCATTCCAGTCCAATAAATGCTCGCTCAATATGTCTGGCACTTGCTACTCTGACAAACTCTACTCAGCCTGCTGTGCTCGTACTACACCTACAGCCCTCATGTCTAGAATAAACTGTACGTTCAAACAAATCACATCACCAGCCAAGTAGGAAAAATATATTGGTCTTACTTTAAGCTTTCCATTTCCTCCAGCTTTTAAGGGGTAGTCTAATTCAAAACATTCTTTGATTTCTTCCAAAGTAATGCTCATACTACAGTATATCCAAAATAAGAGTAGAGTGGAGTTTTGGATATAGAGCAAGATAAAAAGGCTAGTAAACTTTCCTTTACTAAAAAGATATAAATGTCCCTTCGTATTTTCATCAGTATATATTATTTTGTCTTATTCCTTTTATATTTTAACTTTTTAGAATGAGGCTGTAATTTTTTATAGCACTAAGCAGTCTTGGTTACTCAGTGAATTGTATTATCAGTCTATCCGAGGTGATTAAAAAGTTACAGTCAGTGTTATGACCAAAACTGGTATGACTATGAAACTTTAGTCAAGTGGGAATGCTTATGCATTCCCACTTATTGTTTTTCACTTGTAATTTTTCTAACTCTAACTAGTCCCGCAGTTTTCAACTGATTTCAACAATTTTGGTATCAAAACGTTCAGCTTGTTCAGGAGAATTCTGCTATGTCTTTTGGTAAAGATATTTTTTGTAGTTTTCGCAATATTCAGCTTTTTCTGCGTTTTTTTTGTCCCATTGAAATGCATGTAGAATTCTTAGATTTCAGCAAAATTCAGCTAAACCTTCATCATCTTTGACCTTTAACTACTTCAGCATACTTTCAGCTAGAAACACCATTCAACTTTTAAAATGTTTCCGTATCTTTCTGCTATTACTGTTTAACTCGGCTTTCTGCTAACTTTTACAGTTTTGCTTCAGTGAAGCTTCAAACTTTAAAAGAAAATTTTCAGATTTTCAGATTTATAATGGAAGTCTATGGACGGAATTCTTCAACTGCTAGAGTGCGTGCTCTAGCTTTTGAGCTGTTCTGGTTTTTCCGAACAAATTCTTCTCAGTCCATCATTTTTAACTCAATTGAAATAAATTATACATCAAAACGTACGGATTTTTGTCAGGATTCAGGAAATATAACCCTCATTTGTGTGGCTTTTACGGTTTTCCGACAGTTTGGCCCAGACCATGAAGAAGTCCACACTTCCCCAATAGAAATCCAATGAGAGATTTTCCAAAAATCACAGACAAAATCAAAAACGATACATATTTTTGTATCGCTCCCATTTATTAACTATTTGATGTACTAACATGAAACTTGGTATAGAACATCTTCAGACCCTTCTAGCACTCACATTGAAGGAATTTCTTCAATATCATTTATGGTTTAGCTGTTTAGCTGACTTGTTCGGGCATAGGAAAACGCTGATTCTGAGAAAAATCCTAAAACTCAGAAAATGCAAATTTTTACATCGTCACCGTGGCCAAATAGTTTTTAGTAGAAACATGAAAGTTGGCAGAGTCGAAGCCGAAGGATGGCTGACGCCAACGGTGAAAGAATTTTTTTAATACCTAATACGGTTTTGGCTCACCACCCGTTTGTTCACAGGGAAAGTTTTGCTTTTGTGAGTTCTGCTCTACCATGGAACTCCATGTTATTTAATGAGACCAGCAGGATTTACAAACTTTTATATTTCTCCTTCCCATTAAGGCTGTGAATGAGCTACAGCCATGAAAGTTACCCCAATTGGAGACAAAGGATAGCTGTCGGTTAGACTGAAAGAATTTTTTAGATACCATTTACGGTTTGTCTTCGGCACTCGTTTGTTCGGAGCTGATATTCCCATTCAAAAAAGCCTGAGAGGAAAGGAACGAAAGTGATGCGCATTTCTCTCTTTCACTGACAGGCTCGTTAAGTGTTGTCAAGGTAACCGTGCTTCAAAGAGATTTTACCTCCACCACTTTAAACAGCACATTTTAATCTAATGGAGGGAGACAACACTGATTTAACATTAGGAAGTGGATACAATATGACCACTGGCCATGACCCTTCCCTTCACACGCAACCCTGATAGACTTTCAAAATAAAACTCCGGGGACCCTTCAAAATAAAAGCCCCTACATTAAACTGATATTTTTTTCTCAGCATATGGCTAAACGTTATGACCCAAACTCAACCACTTTTTTAAAAATGAGACTCTAGGGGGGTTTTCAAAACACACCCCACAGAAAATTTCAAAATAAAAGCCTCCCATTGCCACTTCATCTACTGCCCTAATAACAGGGAAAAAAAGTGATTTAACGATTAGAAAGTCATCAAGTATCACTGCTGGTTCTGACCCTTTTCTCAACACACAACCCTGCTAGACTTTCAAAATAAGACTCCAGTGACCCTACACAATAAAAGCCCCTATATTATACTTGCGTATTAATTGATGCAAATGGCTCAGCATTATGACCCAAACTCTACCAGCTTGTTTCTATTAGACTCTAGGGAACTTTTCAAAACATACCCCAGAGCAAATTTCACAATAAAAGTCTCCCATTTATGCTCTAATACAGCATCTATTCACCCAATAACATGGAAAACCAGTGATTTCATATTTAGAAATGGATTCTATATCACTGCTGGGCATGACCCTTCCCTTGACACACATCCATGATAGACTTTCAAAATAAGACTAAATGGACTCTACAAAATAAAAGCCTCTTCCTTACATACACTCATTCATTGTGCCGTATAGCTCGTAGCTATGACCCAAACTCAACCAATTTCTTCAAATTACACTACCAAGGCCTGTTGACCACACACCTCAGTGCATATTTCTTAATCAGGTTCTAAGATTTACACTGTAATAAAGCATCTGTTAACCTCGTAACATGCAGCCTAAGCCTGCCAACGGTGCTGTCATCAACACAGCGGCTCGTAACATGCAGGTTAAATTTGTTGATAAATTCAGCTCCTTAAATGGTATTAGCTCTCTTTCTATAAGCTTCTCTCTCTGTCCTTCCTCTGCTTGTCATGGTCGGTCTTGCACATAGGTTTTTAGATTTTCAATCCTCTAAGGATGACACTGTTTTCTTCATGCTGATGAACCAACACATTTTAAATCATTTCAAATTGTTTTACTAAGTCTTGACATTTCCACATATGATTTCAAAATGTTGATGCTTCAATTCAATACCATCTTCCTCAACATTTTACTTCCCATCCTTAAGCTACTACTTTTTTCTTCAACCAGATAAGATTCAAGTTTTTCTTTGTAATTTCTTTTCTGATTCAGCTAATTTAATACTTTTCATCCTATGTTTTGAACTTTGGCTTCATTCTGCTCTCTTTCTGGACAGGAATTAAGCTTTTCGGGTTGCTGCTATTCATAACACACCTGACATGTTTCTGGGCAGTAGGTGGCCCCCCTTCAAAATTTCTTTAGAAATGTTTCTAGAAACTTGGGAGACATTATATTAAGACCCTTTTAGTGCACACATTAAATACATTTTTTGATATTATGTGTGGTTTGGCTGTGTAGCTCTTAAGATGAGTTTGTTTCTGTCATTTTACTGCCAAATGATTTTACCCTATAAAATCTTCAGATGATTCAATTGTTTTCTGCAGTTTGAAGTTTCTGATTACTTCACATCACATTTTCATATGTTCTGCAGTTAATTTCAGATTTTTTCATTCAGCAAAAGCATTCCCACTTGCTGTTTCTCCGAAACAGCTTTTTCTAGTTTTTGTTAATTCTGCGCTGAAATGACTGTTATTTTTTTCCATTGAACAGAGTTACAGTTTAGCTAAACAAAATGTCTCCATGGCAAGTTTCATTATCAAAATATCAATAAAAGCTTTTCCATCTGCTATTGTAAAGAGGGTGAATAAGTGGTGACAGAGCATTTATTGTTTAATATCTGTAAGGAATCGTATGAAAAAGGGGGAAATGGTCAAATGATGAGAAATGACTTCAGATGAAGAATGTCTTTGCCTTTTAAAAATAATATGACTAGCAAGAATGTGAAAATACTTTAATCGCTG